CAAGTGCACACTTGCAACGCTGCCTCCAAAGCACTTCAAACGAAGAAAACGAATTCATTTATTTCATTTAATTTATCATTTATTTATTTATTTATTTAATTATTTATTTATTTATTATTTATTTATTTTATTATTTATTTATTTTATTATTTATTTATTTGTTATTTATTTATTATTTGTTTCCGCCAGTGTCTGGATCGTGTTGACCTTCATCATGAACAAGTGCATGAGCTTCGACGAGATGATCGCCGCGGCGGAGCAGTGAGAGTTTAATTTAAATCCATTTTTAATTTAAATTGAATTTAAATCTATTTTGAATTTAAATTGAATTTAAATCTATTTTAAATTTAAATCTATTTTAAATTTAAATATATTCTGAATTTAAATTGAATTTAAATTGAATTTAAATTGAATTTAAATCTATTTTAAATTTAAATCCATTTTGAATTTAAATTAAAATATATTTTAAATTTAAATATATTTTTAACTTAAAATGAATTTAAATATATTTTGAATTTAAATCTATTTTAAATTTAAATTAAAATATATTTTAAATTTAAATATATTTTGAATTTAAATTGAATTTAAATCTATTTTGAATTTAAATCCATTTTAAACTTAAATTAAAATATATTTTGAATTTAAATTGAATTTAAAATGAATTTAAATATATTTTAATTCAATTTAAATTAAAAATGCATTTAAAATTCAAGTTGCACTTCAAGTCCAGTTCGAAGTTCCCCAAATCCCTGAAATATATTTCAATTCAAAGTTGAATTTCATTTCCGAATTTGTTTTAAATTAAATTCAAAAATATTTCAAAGTTTATTTCCAAAAAATAAAAATAAAAAATAAAAAATAAAAATAAAACTTTTTTCTTTTCTTTTATTTATTTTCCAACTTTCCACTTTCAGGTTCGAGCCCCTCGTGGGAGCCGAATGAAGCCCGAGAGAAAATTGAACTTCCAAACTTTCTTCATTTTCTTTTAATTCTTTTATTTATTTTATTTGTTTTATTTATTTTATTTTATTTATTTTATTTGTTTTATTTATTTTTTTATTTTATTTATTTTATTTGTTTTATTATTTTATTTGTTTTATTTATTTTATTTGTTTCAATCAGGCAAGCAGCAGCTGCGGGTGTCCGGAGAAGATCATTTGAATTAAAAGAATTAAAATAATTAAAAGAATTGAAATGAATTAAAAGAATTAAAAAGAATTAAAAGAATTAAAATGAATTAAAAGAATTAAAAAGAATTAAAATAATTAAAATAATTAAAATAATTAAAATGAATTAAAAGAATTAAAATGAATTAAAAGAATTAAAAGAATTAAATGAATTAAAATGAATTAAATGGAATTAAAATGAATTAAATGGAATCAAATGGAATTAAATGGAATTAAAATGAACTGAATGGAATTAAACTGAATTAAATGGAATTAAACTGAATTAAATGGAATTAAATCGAATTATTGGAATTAAAAGAACTAGATGGAATCAAAATGAATTAAAAAGAATCAAAATGAATTCAAAAGAATTAAAATGAATTAAATGGAACTAAAATGAATCAAAACAAATTAAAATAAATTCTGTTCAATTCCGTTAATTCATTGTTGCCAAATAATTCGGCCTCGGGCCCGAAAAGTATTTCTTCAAATTAAATTCTTTTTAAAAAGAATTTAATTTGAAGAAATACTTTTACAAGAATTTAATTTGAATAAACACTTTTATTCAAATTAAATACTTACAAGAGAAAAGCACTTGTTTGAATAAACACTTTTATAATAATTTAATTTGAATAAATGATTTTCTCTTTTGAGTCTTTTATTTGAATAAATGCTTTTCTTTTTTGAAGACCAATCTGCAGCACTTTTGGAATTTAATATTTTCTGAAAAGCTTTTTTCTTTTCTGGTCTTCTGCAATTTGCCTTCAAGTCTTTTTTTGTTTTCGACAAGTTCTAAAACTTTTTTTATTTAAAACTCCTTTTATTTAAAACTTCTTTTATTTAAAACTTCTTTTATTTAAAACTTCTTTTCATTTAAAACTTCTTTTCCTTAAAACTTCTTTCATTTAAAACTTCTTGAATTAGAACTTGTTTTATTGGAACTTCTTTCATCAGAACTTCTTTGATTAAAACTTGTTTTATTAAAACTTGTTTTATTAAAACTTGTTTTATTAGAAGTTCTTTAATTGGAGTTTCTTTTATTAGAACTTCTTTTATTAGAACTTCTTTTATTAAACTCTCCCCCGCTGCTGCTTTTGTTTTTCCAAAACTTTTTTTTGAAGAGCTTCTCTGTTTTCGGCTGCTCTTCGAAACTGCTGCATCGTTTCTTCTTCGAGAGCTTCGCACCTTCCTCTGAAATTAAATAAAACAATTTAATTAAATAAAACAATTTAATTGAATAAAACAATTTAATTTAATTATTTAATTGAAAAGAGCTTATTCAGGAGGGTTTAATTCGAAAGGACTTAATGAAAAGAATTTAATTTAAAAGAATTTAATTTAAAGAATTTAATTTAAAGAATTTAATTCAAAAGAATTTAATTTAAAGAATTTAATTTAAAGAATTTAATTTCGAAGAGTTTGATTAAAAAGGACTAATTCAAAAGGATGTAGTTGAAAAGAATTAAAGAACAATTAAATTGGGAATTTAATTAAAAGAATTAAAATAATTGAAAGAAATAAATTAAAAACGAATTAAAGAATAATTAAATTGAAAAAGAATTAATTAAAATGGAGAGAAGGAATAAAACCCACAAGGCCAAACATAAAAAGGAAGCAAAAAAGAAAATTAAGAAATTAATTCAAAAAAAGAATTTAAAAAACAAAAATCAAAAATTAACTTTTATTTATATTCCGGCATTTATTTAATTCTCCAAATGCAGCAAAAACTCTCCTCAAGCCCTTAGAGGACTTCTGCTTATTCAGTGCTGCTGCTGCTGCTGCTGCTGCTGCTGCTGCTGCTACTGCTGCTGCTGCAGCTGCGGGGGTTGTCCTGGTGCTGCTGCTGCTGCTGCTGTGACGTGTTCTGCTGCTCCTGTTTCTGTTTCTGCTGCTGCTGCTGCTCTGTGGCGTGCTCTGCTGCTGCTGCTGCTGCTGCTGCTGCTGCTGCTGCTGCTGCTGCTGCTGCTGCTGAGTAGCTTAAGTAGCACTGATTGAATGAGCAGCAGCAAAGCTGCTGAAAGGTCGCTGCATGCAAAGGCGACTCAGTGGCGGAATTTAAAGCAGCAAAAAAACTCAAAGAAATTAAAAACAGAAAAATAAAAAAATAAATAAAAATAAAGAAAAAGAGACTCAAAATAGACCAAAATAAAGGGCAGAAGCAGCAAATAAAGAATAAAATATAAAATAAAACAAATAACATAAAATAAAACAAATAAAATAAAATAAATAAATAAAATAAATAAAATAAAACTTACAGTTCTCGCTGCACATATTCCAGTCTTTTGTTTACTGTTTGAAGAGCCTCCGACTTCGACTGCCGCACCAACACAGGGCCAATCATTTTGTACACTACTGCGTCTTCTGCTGCTGCTGTTAGCTCCTGCAGCAGCAGCAGCAGCAGCAGCAGCAGCAGCAGCAGCAGCAGCAGCGGATGGGAATGGGGCGAAGACGCGGCAGCAGCAGATGCGGGTTAATGGCGGCAGCAGCAGCAGCAGCAGATGTTGATGCAGGTTAATAGCGGCAGCAGCAGAAGCAGCAGCAGCAGCAGCAGCAGCAGCAGCAGCAGCAGCAGCAGATTGTGGTTGCGAGACAAACAGGTGGCAGCAACAGCAGCAAAACGAGTCACGCCGCAGCAGCAGCAGCAGCAACAGCCAGTCGCAAACACTGAGCAGCAGCAGCAGCAGCAGCAGCAGCAGCAGCAGCAGGCAAATGAATTATTTATTTAAATGAATTTTAATTTTAATTTTAATTTTAATTTTAATTTTAATTTTAATTTTTGTTTAAAATGAAAATAAATTTTACATTCGCCACCGCCTGAAGCTCCGTCCGCTGCGGCACCAGCCGATTCACATTTTGGGCATTTGTTTGGAGACCTGAAAATAAAAATAAATAAATAAATTAAATAAATAAATAAATAAATAAATTAAATAAATAAATAAATAAATAAATAAATAAATAAATAAACAAAAATATAATAAATAGTTTATTTATTTATTATTTATTTATTTATTTTATTTTTTGAATTTGACTTACGCTCCATCAGCGCGTCCATTTCGGCTGTGGTTTCTTTCAGCCTTTGC